ATATGTTTTAAACGGAATGAGCAGGGGCTAACTATACAGTTCGGGGCCTTTAGCCGCCCAAGGGTTTTTAGGACCCCTGTCAATGCCTTGGAACCTGTGGCTCTGGCAGTTTCACGTATACTTAGCGTTTTATGACATCACTATCACAATGGTCTGTCTCGAAACACGAACGTTAGCATCTCCGCATTGTTATATCGTTCAGTTTACAATTACATTTTAAATGTCCGTTCACGTTAGCAAAAGACAATGATAATGATCTTGGCTTACGGTGAGAATAAATGTGGCACTATGTTTTAAACTGGAAACAGTCTAATCAAAATTGAACAAAACTTTCGTGCCTTGTTTTAATAGCTTTTATATTTAATTTAGCCACTTTAGTTAGGGTCTAACGACAGCCCTCTTCCGTTCGTCAAATTTACCTTTTGACCTAACCTAATAAAATGCCAGCGCTGGAAAAGGTAGAAAATTTATTGCAAAGGAGTTAGGTCAAAAGGTTAATTTGACGAACGTTCCAGGGGGCTGTGGTTAAACTCTGACTGCAGTGGCTTTATTAAAGATGAAAACTAATAAAAAAAAAACGGAACGAAAGATTGAAAACACCTAAACCTGACTTACCTAAATCGTCTGCTACGATGAACAAGATATTTGGTCTCTTTGCAGAACATGACTGGGCGAGTAAACAAAACAACAAACCAAACCTCAAAATCACCATTTTGCTTATGGTTAGCATTTAATTATCAAGAATAAGATTGATAGATAAAATTCATACTTTGTCTTCGTTTGTTTATCTTTGTAATCATATCTTATTGGTTATAGTTTTTTTTACTGTTAATACGTGTCTTGACTATAATCTTCAATCATCAGCATAGTTAGTTTGTGTAAATGAGTTTTTATCATTGCATTGCATTGGACACAGTACCGTATAACTGCGAAAATAGTGCGCAATTCTTCTAATTGAGTTTTGATTTGCATTCGATACGGTATTGTATAATTTCGAGTATAGTGCGCAACTCTCACAATCTAGTAATTTATATATACCACATAGTTGCGAATATATTGAGCACAAATTCTTACTATCCAGAAATCTATATATACCGTATGAAATAATCTGGACAAATGTCTTTCAGAATTTTGTATGCCAGTATCACAGTGTTGTATTCAATTCGCTGATAGATTTTGAGCCATTTTAAATGTGAAAACAACCGATCTTGCATCATTTTTCGAGTCTAGGATACTTCTTGTAGCACGTTTTTGAAGTTTTAGAATACCATTAAGTTTACTAAGGAAGGTATTACCCCATATACAATATTACAATAATCTATAACAGATAATATATAACAGATAATATATAACAGATAATATATAACAGATAATATATAACAGATAATATATAACAGATAATATATAACAAATAATCTATAACAGATAATATATAACAGATAATATATAACAGATAATATATAACAGATAATATATAACAGATAATATATAACAGATAATATATGACAGATAATATATAACAAATAATATATAACAAATAATCTATAACAGATAATATATAACAGATAATATATAACAGATAATATATAACAGATAATATATAACAGATAATATATAACAGATAATATATAACAGATAATATAATATATAACAGATAATATATAACAGATAATATATAACAGATAATATATAACAGATAATATATAACTATTATAAAATAAAATTCTACTAAGGAGGTAAATTTTTGAAGCTAAGTTTCCATGTAATTTTTTAAGGTGTTGTTCCCAGTCTAAGTGATCATCAACCGTATCGCCAAGAAAGATTGTCTTAGAGACAATTTCAATTGATTGTGAATTCACTTTAATGACATTTTGTTTTTAACAGCCCGATTTCAAACCAACATAGATTCAGTTTAGTTGAATTTAAAACC